GCCATATTCTCAGATGAGGTGAATATGTCTTGGCTATTGGATCTTGTGAATTAAGCAGTGGACCCTGGTGATTTCCACTTAGTTGAATCAGTACGTTAGTGCCTGGTCAGCTTTATAATAAAAAGAAAAGACGTACGGAGGACATGTGAATCTAGAATAATGGAAATAATCTTTTGAGAGTCAGTTATTGTACCACTCTTTTTTAATATTTCTCTTTTTTTTTGAGACAGGACTTGGCCCTGTTGCCCAGGCTGGAGTGCAGTGGTGCAGTCATAGCTCACCACAGCCTCAAACTTCCAGACTCAAGCGATCCTTCTACCTTGGCATCCCAAAGCGCTAGGAATACAGGAATGGGAGTGGGGCAGGGGAGGGGGGCGCAATTCCCTGCTGTTTATATTATCTTTAAAGTGATCAACAAATTTTCTTTTTCTCAGATAATAAAGAAAACTAGAGAACAGGAAATGAATTGTTTATTTTTCTTCTTGAGCACTTATTTCATGTCTTTTTAATAATTTTGAGGCAAAAAATAAACAGAAATAATATCCAAATACATTTTCATAGTTCGTTGATTACCATTCTAACACATAAAGGTAAGAATTTTAGTGACCAGTGTTTTGTATCTGACTCTTATTTTAGAATTTCCAGTCTTCCAAGGATTCCTTATTAATTATTTACCTCAGGTCTTAATTGAGAGAAAAATTTTGATGTAGAAAAGCAGATTTTGATAGATATACATGAAGAGAGGCAAATGGTTCAGATGGTAATTTGGACCCTTGAAAATTTTAACAAGCTGTATGATAAAAAAGCCAGCACTTACTAATCCTCAAAGTATGGAAAGGAAGGAAGGGATATTACCTATGTTAGGCAAAACTATCTCATTTTGGGAAAAACAAGACAATCTCCTCATGGAAGTTTCTTTGCTTTTTAAGGTACCTCCCAAAGAAGCAATCTTGTTCATGTCAAAAGCTCCCTAAAATGGCCGGTGCAACTCCAAATTGTCCTTGGTGAAACTGTGCCAGTTAGATAATAGGCATACAAGTTAGTATTCTTATGAAAAAAAAAAAATGAAGAAAACAGGCATTTGGGCTGAAACAGGCACAATTTTAGATTGAGGAGAACCTAAGAGAATTGCAGTGGTCCTTAAGGGTAGTGTTTGGGTAACTTGTATTGTTGGGCTTGACCAAAGGCCATGGTCACCACCAGATCCCAGGCAAAACCTCCTTAAAGAAGACAGGTGACAATAAACAAAGCAATATTCAGAGACACAAAGTCAAGATTGAGGAATACACCTTTATAAGGTTTTGAAATGATGATATGAGGCAAATGAATGCCAATCTGAAGAAACTTTCTAAACTACACAGTCACTATGATAAGCTCTAGGATCAATTTATCAGGCTTGGCTGGCTGACTTTAAGGAGGCCTCCATGAGCCCTGCCTCCTGGTGGTCACAACTTTGTGTAATTCCTCCCTTCCTTGAGTGTAGGTATGAACTTCAACTTGTTCTTAATGAATGGAATGAAAAAAAGGTGATGCGAGATACATGATTGCATTTATTTGATAACCTAAGAGTGCAGTGACCATCTTGCTAGTCTCTCTCCAATGCTGGTTTTGAAGAAGCAACTTGCCATGAATCCTACACATAGGGGTCTGACCCACACACCCTGACCCAGCGATGGATGAACAAATTCACTCAAACACAAATCTCCAGTGAAAGAGTGGGCTAGGGCCATCTGTGGCCACTCACTGATACTCCTGAGAGAGATAGCAGCCACAGCCCAACCAGGCATTTATTCAGTATAGATTTAACAACAGAGGCTCTGAGTCAACACACTTGTGGATACTAGTTAAAGGCCAGGTTCCGAGGCCTAAAGCAAACACCTTTTGAGGGTAATAAACTTCTGCCAACCCCCAAGTAGGAGGCAGTGAAGTGTGGATGGGCAAAGATTGGTCTTAGGACAACAAGCCATTTAGATAAATTCCTTTGTGTTCTCCTGTTAACTGCCCTATGCTTCAAGTCTCAAGATAAAAGAACTAGCTGCCTTCAGCCCATTCTTTCCTGGTTTTACAAAACCTTCTGGTCTTCCAAGGTTTGCGATTATTTTATAATGTTTTAGTTTTGCCAACAACCCTGATGAATCCCCCATACCTACAGCCATAAGGAAAGAAATTCTGCCAACAACCTGAGAGTGCTTGGGAGTAGATCCTTTACCTGTCAAGGATATGATGCGCACCTGGCCTGGGCAGACATGTTTTCCAGCACTGAGATCCTAAGCAGACTACCCAGCTAAAGCCATACCCAGACTTCTGACCCACAGACATTGTGAGACAGTAAGTGTGTGTTGTTTTAAGCAGCTAAGTTTGTGGTAATTTGTTCTGCAGCAATAGAAAACTAACGCCACTGGCTTATGCCCATATTCTCACAAAAGACTTTTCTTCTTGTAGACAATTTCATTTCTAAATACTCAACGTTTAGATCCCCTCTTCTAGCTATGGGCTGTTGAGGTTAAAATGTTACTCAAACTTTTCTTACTGTTTGAGTAAAAATTGACTATGGTATTTTCCCCAATTTACGCAATGTTAATATTAGTACAGTAAGGCTAGGCATGGTGGCTCATACCTTTATTCCCAGCACTTCGGGAAGCTGAGGCAGGAGAATCATTTGAGATTAGGAGTACTAGATCAGCATGGGCAACACAGCAAGACTTTGCCTCTACAAAAAAATTTAAAAAGTACTAACTGGGAGTGGTGGCATGCACCTGTAGTCCTAGCCACACAGGAGCCTTAGGTGGGAGGATCACTTGATCCTAAGGTTACAGTGAGCTGTGATCACACCACTGCCCTCCAGCCTGGGTGACAGAGTGAAACCCTGTCTCCAAAGGGAAAAAAAAGTAAGCGCAGTAAAAGAGATGGCACTAAATTAGCAGAGGCTGCTTTTATTTACACAGACGTCTTCAACCCCACATAGGCAAGGACACCGTATGTTGTGGCATACAGGTTTCTTTCCAACTAGACTGAGCTCTTAGAAGTTAGTGTCCTTTGGCTTTATATCCCCTCCAGGCCTTATATATGCTGGATATTCAATAACTATGGAATTAAAACCACAATTGCCTTTAAGCTTATTGATTAATGGGATCTGGTTTCACTTCAGGTGCTACTTCCATTTTGATGCAATGATCAAAACCATTAAGATCTATGACAGGCATGAGGTCAAGAGATCGAGACCATCCTGGTCAACATGGTGAAACCCCATCTCTACTAAAAATACAAAAAATTAGCTGGGCATGGCGGTGCGTGCCTGTAATCCCAGCTACTCA